GCGCCTGTGTAAAATCGTGGCTAAACTATTACATTAATATAAAGTAGCAAAGGAATAAATATCGTAATATGCGTCGAAATAAATCGTGTTGGCGAACTTCACATGTCTTCGAAATAATTTTTTTTTATATCAGACATGCAGGTTTCATCATGATGTTTTCCTTCACCGCCGAGCACGTGGTAAATCAGCACTTAAAATTGCAATTAACAATTTCATTGGTGCCGGCGGGGATCGAACTCGGTTTGCTCGCGTATTGTGAAATTTACAGCGAGCGCTAACCATCTGAGCTACCACGGCTCTTGAACATAAGATATAAACTTTTTTTATAATGCAAAAATTTTGAATTACTCTGTATATTTAATGTGTTTCTATGATTGTAATTATAATTCAATGTTTTTAATGAAGTTCTTATAACTTATATGTGGTAGAGCCACGCTGCTTAATGCGGGTGAGTTTTGTATGGTGTTTAGGTTTTACTGGAAATGAGGTATTCTATCGTAGTCTTCAGGGGTGGCAACGCATCTGCATTTTAATTTTTAATTGAATTTAAATGTAGATATCTATAGGTACAGCATCAAATTACCATCAGTTTGATTGTGTGCTCATTTGTCACAAACGCCTGTGTAAAATCATGGCTAAAAGTATTACAATGATATAAAGTAGCAAAGGAATAATTATAAAAGTGAAGCATGTTGCTGAAAGAAAATTAACTAATGTTTCAGATCCAGTTACTCCAATGCAAGATCCTGTGATATCAACTAATCCTGTAGTTATAAAGAAAAGGGCTGAAACGTTTTTAGGTATGATTTATTTTGATTGAGAGATGATAACTATTTATATTTAATATTTGATAATATGATATATATTTCATATTTGTTCTGACATAGACAATATTTATATGTAAGGAAAAGAGATAATCTACATATGAAAACTAAAAAGTTACCGGATAATGAAGAACTAAAGATTAAGTACTTATATGAGAAACATGTGTAACAAAATTATTAAAAATCTGAAAAAAAGAATATTATAAAAATAAATTAATAAAAAATCAAAGAAATACAAAATGAACATGGAAGATAATTGCAGAAGTGTTTAATTTAATTAATTTTGTACCTTGAAAATAAATTTATACTATTTGTCCAAAATTATACCAAGTTTGACGTTTTATTGGTTTTTTTTTTTGCCAAATTTTTGACGTCACGTGGCTAGTGATTTTATACGTTTTGATTTTTGGTTTTATTATTATTTCTGTTTTATTTTTGTCTTAAGAACTTACCTAATACCTAATATGTTTTATATTCAGTAAGGGTAAAACGAAAAGAACACAAAAGAAACGATACCTACATAATTGAAACTGAACATCGTATTCATAAAATATTTTAATATTCTGTTTTCATTTCGACACACAAACTGAGAGAAGCTGCTGCCGTCATCAAGCTTCTGGTAAAAATGGATAGGATAAGACTCATAAACAATGTTTACACATGTGCGATGACGAATTGCAATTTGCCTAGTATTATTAAGATACTGCATACTGCACATTATGAAATAATGGTATAAATAGGATAATTATACTACGAAATCCGACCCTGGTTACGTCGTGTTATAACGTTTGTATTATGACAGATGCGCTACTTTTTCTTGTATGAAGAATCCTTCATTTTGAAATCATTGGTATCATTACGTTAGCCTAATGGCAGGGTACGGGCCGCGAGCTCAAAAGGTCGTGAAATCGAGTCCGCTATTCGATTACTCTCGTGAACCGTCCCTAGCACAAGCATTTTAAGCTGGTGGTTAAGGGGAATATTAGTAATGATAATATCATTGCTAGTATTTTATCAGCCCTTTTTTACGTGGTAGAGCCATGCTGCAGTTATATCAGTAGTCCAGGAAGGACCACGCTCTCACAGAATACCAGCGTAAAATAGTAGCTTAATGCTACTGTTTCGTATGGTGAGTGTAGAGAACCAGAGACCCTTTTTACTGGAAACGAGGCATTTCATCTTAGTCCTCACGGGTGACAACGCGTCTGCATTTTTATTTGTAATCGAGGATAGATGTGGATGTCTATGGGCCACAGCAACCACTTACCATCAGGTGGACTGTGTGCTCGTTTGTCACCCTATCCTATAAAAAAGCCCTTCTTGATTATTGCTCCACCACCTCTTATATGTTCCTCTGTTTAGCTTAATAGTTGACTGATAGAATTCCCTATGGCATTAAAGTGCACCCTATGAACTATTTTGTGCATGAACGTAAAATAACAAATTTAAAGAATTTAGATAGGTACCAAAATTTACATTAAATTATTGGTCAATAAATTTAAAATTATTAGATTCAGGAAAGTCAATTCGCAACCACTTATAAATACTTAATGATGTTTGTGGGGTGTTGTAATAATTGTTTCTTTTCTTTCGTTTTTTAAACAAAACTGGTTGATAATTTTTTTTTAATTTCTAATTTTAAGGAGGAGCATTGGCAGACAAGAAAAAGACAAAGGGTATCCTTCGAGAAGAGTACGAAGATGCTGATCTGCTGCTTTTATGGATAATATTTTCGACTCAGTTAATGGCAGTTTTTAAAAGAAAAGATCCCAAAACTCGACTTGGACCTGCAACAGCTCACTCCATACATCACAAAACATGTATGGATGCCAAAAAAGTTTTTGCGTCTATGATGTGTATCTTCCACTGGTACAATTTATTCCAACTGTAAACAATTGGGTGTGGCCACTAGAAGGGATGGAAGTTTTATTAAAAAAAAATTGAAATTGATTTTGGCATTACATCAGTTTGGTTGCGTCATCTGAATCAGGACCCACTGGAAAATTGCTTTGGATCTGTTAAACGCCATGGATGCCGTAATATTAATCCAACTTGTAACCAATATGAGTCAGCTTTTGCCACCCTTTTGATTAATAATTTAAGTAGTGTCCACTCTCATGGTAAAAACTGCGAGCTAGATTATTGTAATGCTGTGCACACTCATTGTTAATGAAAACTTAGAGGCATCGTCAACCTGCACATTTGATTTCACAAAAATTTTAGAAATAAACCTCACGCCAATTACAATGAAACTAAATATAAACATTGTGTTAACTGTAAATATGCAATATTGTTATTTTAACAGACTCAAAGTTACAGGCTGACTCCAGAATAGTATATTTACAATGGATACCTTCAAAAAGCTGATATTTTAGCCAAACAAGCTATTTCGGCTATTTTATTAATTTTACCCCTTCATTTCAAAACTATATACCTTTACCTTTATTAAAAAAAATATTGTTATGACCTTTGGAAGAAATATTTTGACGAAAGAGCAAAAGAAAAGGGTATATGGTACCGTACGATCCAGCCGTACCCAATGCGCTCAACCTGGATAGATAATGGAATATTGTGTAGACCCGATACTGTGATAGCATTAAGACTCAGATCTGGGCACATTCTATGCAATAAATTTTTGTACTTGAAGCGAAAAACTACCTCACCAAACTGTTCACTGCGAACTTGCAATGTTATAGATGATGCTTATCACATTTTGACAGAATGTGCCCAGAACTCCATAGAAAGAAAAAAATGTATTTTATGTTTGTCATTGATTAGCAGTATTATAATAATAGTATTTTTTCAGACCCGTTATCAGATGATGCCAAAAAACTTTGTGTTAGTAAATAAGAGATTAAATAATTAATAAGTTTATTTGTTAGTATTTATACTATTTAAGAATTTTGTTGTACCAGGGCGTCATAATCGCTTCAGTGACAAAGCCCTTTTTCTAAGAATAAAAAAAAACTGTAAATATGACCTATTTTCTGAAGATGAAATAGAATACCTAAAATACAGAGAATATGCAGGTGGCTTTGTACTCCATGCAATGATTTGATTTAATCAATTTCAGATATGCGGGATATAGTCAATCATATTTCAAAGGACAATTTTGAAAATGATCAGTTAAAAGAAATTATGAAAACAAGCATATTATATACTTTAATTGATTTCGATTTTATGAAATGTAATGTGCATAAAAATAAATTAGTTGATTATTTGATAAATATTGTGATGTGTTGATTTTTAATAGTTTTAAAAATAATAATAGAATATTGACTGGGAGAAAAGAAGTAGATGATGATAACTATTTCCAAATTAAAGCCCAAAGGTTAAGAAGTAAACTTTTTAAAAGAAAGAAATAATTACTCTTGTTGCTACCAAAATTGAGTTAATAATATTTAATTACTGTTACACATTTTATATATTCATGCGTTCTAAACTGATTTATCAATGATATGTAATAATAAATACGCTTAAATTGAACCACCAAATTATAAAAGTAAGATTAATGAGTCTTATTTTTTTTATACAAATGTATTTTTATAATTAGCAGATATGTCGTTATTAAATAGGCTAGATATAATCTATGAGTCTATAGAATGCATTATTACAATATTCATCAAATAATTTATTTTTAAACACAAAGTCTATTGCTAAAGGTTGGTGATACCATAGAATACTATAATACACAATAGAATGGCTGTATTTTGTACGAGTTTGCTTTATTTTGTACGAGGAAGGGCGTCGACAAACCCGATTCGCTGTGTTGACAGAGTGAATCTCATTAAAAAAAAATCGTTTAACACATACATATTTATTCGTAAATAGTGTGCAATTTGGCATTTTCTAAATAATTTGCATGCAAAATTTGGAAACCATTGTAACCGTCAAAACACATATCGTGTTGACATTTATACGTGTGAATTGACGTATTAGTGACATTTTAGTGGCTACGCGGGCTCCGCCCACTCCCCCGTTCTATTATGTATGTATTATGGTATTCTATGCGTGATACTATGGGAATATTTGCCACAGTATATCAGGTGGGTTGGCAACGGCAGCATATTTTTTTCCGAAGAGGCTGCTACTGCTGGCTGTTTTAAGAGTAGCAAATTCTCTTACGCCGTCACGACTTATTACACTACAGGGCATACAGCAAAGAAGCATAACTTATTTTGAGCTTTAAATTATTTGATATAAGTCATTATATAATGTGAGTTTAAGACGTCTTCATTGCTAGCATACTGCTTTAATATTTGTTTTCAAATATTCATTATTATATAAATATTATTGCTTGAATATTTGTTTTTGTCAATATTCGATTCGATTTTAATGGAGCAATATGCAGAATTGCTTATTTGATTGGCAATTGGTTTAAAATTCATTTCAAAAATTATAAATCGCCGCAATTCCAAAGGACCTAAAATTTTACTATCATTTCAATTTAATAATTAAAAAGATTAAGAAAAACAAATATTCAAGATTGGATTTGATTTTAATTTGATATAGGCCGAATATGGTTGTCACCGAATACGAATATTCGGCCGAAAGTTCAGTAAAACTTTTACCGAACAGAATATTCGGCCGAACATTATTCAACGGGATCACCTCTGTAACTAACCAATTATTAATATATCTAAACTGACGACCAAATTAAAGTGAAATGTACTAATTTAATTTAATGTTTTCTTTGTTTGATTCCAAAAACATTTTATCAAACTTTCTATTTGCTATAATCGGAAATAAATCTAAAGTACCTCGAAAACATAACATTTCAAGTAGACTTAACCCATAAATAAAATATACTTTCAATAGTAAAATTATGAAAGACATGACATTACTCAATTCGTACAATTCAAGTGGACATTTTTAGTACCATTTAAACGAATATTCGGTGATTTAGCCGCATATTCGGCCGAGTATCTTCGTCTCAATTTAATGGAGCAATAATGTAGAATTATTTTAGCAATTGGTTTCAAATTTATTTCAATTGCAAACGATCTCAATTTTATTCTTGACGCATTTTAAATACATATTATAATATAAGAAGTTGAGTGCAGATTTACATTATTTAATGTTTTAAATTTAGTTCTTATCTTTGTTTCAGGCTGTTCATTAATTGCTATATTTAAGTTGAATAAATGTACTGATATTTATTATTGTCATAACTATTATTGTATTTGTGTGCTGTTTTTTAATAAATCCTGTAAATATAATGTTAGTTTTATTTATTTTGATTTTAATTATTAATATCTATGATGAGAACAATAATATTTATACGTAGGTGCTACATATATGTATATATATATATATATATATATATATACGGCATGTGCGTATATATAAGCTTATATTTATAGATATTACAATAAAGTTGCTAACTTTGGATAGTAGAGGCGCTAGTTATGCATTGCCATTTTATAGGTCGAAGATTGGTCTCTATTTCAGTTTATACAAAGGTACTCTGTGGTTTCGACGTCTGCCATAGGCGAAAGCCGAAAGTGATGGAGTGGTAGGTAGAGATGTTCGATGATCATCGATGTTAGAAATAAAAACATCGATGTTACCACACGTTAAACATCGAAACATCGATGTTGCCACATGTCAAACATCGATGTTAATAAACCAATAATCGATTAATAAGAACTTGTGAAAAATGCTAACAATGCTAACGCGAAATCAATATCAACTAAATATTTTATCTCCTATAAAAGGTTTAAAATTTTAATAATTAAGGATTCCTAAATGCTGTCAAGTGTAAACTGTAATGTCTCAGTTGTAACTGCTTTCGCTTTGTTTTTCCCTTACTGTCTATACACACATCATTTTGAAATAATATGTATCTACACTGATATAATTATATTTAGCTGTTTTTGAGCTTCGGATAACAAGTTTATTGTTTGCTTGAAGTTTACGAAAATAAATCACTGGGCGATCGTGAGCATAGACAATTTCACTGCATAGTGCATTTTATAAACGGCTGTGGATACTTACTTCTTGGGCTGCCTGATTATAAATTGTGTGAACAAAGGTGACGGAAAAGTCAATTATTTTGTTTTTGTGAAGTTTGTTAATTTTCCCTCTATAATCATTTTTCGCGGTAGTAGTTAATATTAAACCTACGTCTAAATCGTAAATTAGGATAGTAAATTTTTTAATACCAGATTTAAATTTGTATAGGAACATTTAAATATCAAAAATATTCATCATTATCGGCAAAAATATAACAAATTAACTAAGTATTTTTCGGCTTTTTCCCATTTTTCAAGTTGCTGTTTCACACTAATTTTTTTATTAATTTCTTTAATTTCATTAATAATAAACTATAAACAACACTACAAATTTTTTGTTCATCTAATTTTAACCTACTAAATAGATACATGTGCTATAACATCGATAATAGCCAACATCGATGTTTTGAGTAGGATAAACATCGAACATCGATGTTAAGCTATCGATATCAACATCGATGTTTCTGTAACATCGAGCATCCCTAGAGGTAGGGCAGAGTGTAAATACACACTTCCCGCGATCCTGCTACGGCAGTATTTAGGGAAGTATTGCCGGCAGCGCGAGGAGCAGTGGCAGTGGCTGAATGTAAATGGGGCTTTAGAACTTAAAACTTGGAAACCTATGAAATGCTATTATGCAAAATTAAGACGCACTTAGTTAA